TCCTGTGTGTTTATTCGAAAAAACATATGAATGATGACCCCGAACTTGCTGAGATGAAAAAGAGAGCAAACACAAGAAGCTTGAAGGAGATGGCTTTGCTATTGAGGTACTTATTCTGCTATTGCTTTGTCTTTCTTGGAGTATTTTGGTGAAGCTTTTACTTAAGAAGTTTTGATGTCACACAGTATTTTATCCTGCGCCAATCTCTCATAAACATTTTTCTGCCAAGTGTTACGAAAAAATGAAAGACTCGCTCTTCTAAGCTCTACATGTATTGAATATGATTAAATGGAAAGCTAAGCCTAATGTTGCATGTGTACTCTTAATCTTCCCTACCTATCAGAAAATCTTGTTTGCTCAGGCGTGTAATAGTTCTTTCACGAGGGGGTTAACCCTGCTTGATTATTCTGCATGGAAGAAAACCATAGAGCAAGTCACGGTAGAAATGACTTCTAACATGAATGTGCAGAAGATAATACAGATACGATAGATGGAAGTTTTCTCATGATCATGGATGTGAAATTCAATCATCATCCATTATATGATTGCTTTATCAGTTTCATACTTCAAGTCCTAGTAAACTGTTGGTATAGTTAGCACAATAATGGAAGAGGAAATCAAATGATACATGTTTCTTTGGCAATTCGAGATAGCTCACAAATGCTCTTTTTGATATTCCACTATTGCTCTTTTGATGGAAGCATACATCTGAGGATACATGTACTTGTGATCCAGGGGTGGATCAAAAATAATATGGATTGCTCCTAGTGGTGGAAGAGATAGGCCAGACCCTGTTACAAAAGAATGGTATCCAGTAAGATTCCTTTTTCTATTTAATAATTATAGTTGTCTTTCCATATATTTATCTTTTCATTCTATTTGATGGACATACCTGCAAACATGGCCAACATACATTTCTCGACAAGGTATTTTCTCCGTTTCATTCATATGACTATGTTTGTACAGAGGAGGGGGTTTAATATATTAATTTGACTCTGTATCTTAATAGTGGCAGTATAGGAAATATTTTAAATAGTGGTTCAAAAGTTAGTTTTATGAAGAACACTGAAACAAATTTGATTTCTTGGAAGTCGTATAAAACAATAATCTAAGTGGAGTGGTGAAAACATTTTGAGAAGTCCCATAGTTGAAAAGCTACCATAATTTGAAGGAGGAAGTGTTGCTACCTTATTCATTCTTTTAAGTGATTCTTAATTCCTTTGTGGGCTGATTTGCTATCCCTGCCTATGAAATATAGGGCAAGCCTCATACATCTTCTGAATTACATCTGATGCCAGTTTACATCTTAAGATTTTCTTCCACGACTTAACTGTTCTGTTCTTGATTGCTTCCATTTCCTTGGTGAGGTTGTTCTTGACTCTTTAAGAGAATAGTCATCTGCAGCCGTGTGCTGGCACATTTATGATTCAGTTCTCAGAATGTGATTGGCATTATTTGCCTGAACTTTAAATGAGAGTTAACTGTTCGTATCCAATTGGGATTTACATGGATACATGCTATGGTTCACTGCTTCTTCCTATTCTGTATGTTCAGCAATACACTTCTCCATTACACTTGCCTTGTGACAGTTCTAGGGTGATGTTGATAAGCGTGATAATATCTCTTCTTCTCCAGCATAGTTCTATGTATATGATGGGCAGTTAGTTTCAAAAGTTTTGGTATTTATGCTTCGTCATGATGCTTAATTAAGAGCCATTTTTTTAACATTTAATTTTTTTTTCCAAAAGAGCCAGATCCATATAGGTAATATCAGTTAGTTAAGACGCAGCTAATTATTTTTCAATGAACAGGTGTTTGGTTTAGATAAACCATAATTGCCTTTAAAAGGCCAAGTATTATGCATTGGAATGAAATGGGCCTGAATGGATATAGAGGAATCATATAACAGATTCCAACTGATCTGTTGATTAATTGATTTTGAGCAGCTTGTGGTTGAACATTTTGCTTGTATTTCTTCAGGCACCATTTGATGCTTCCGCGACAGACAACATGAGGAGGCTTGTACAACATGCTGGTGTCCCTGGTCACATTTATCCTCTAGCAATATTGTGCCATGATATTATGCCCCCTCCCGCCCAGGTTGGTCCTGTGTCAATTATGTTTGTTTCTGTGATGACTATGTTTTTTTACATATCCCTGCTTGCGATAGTACAGGTTGAGAAAAATATCGGAGAGAAAAGAGTTGTATCTTTTCATGGAGCTGGCATATCTGTGGCACCCAAAATTGATTTTCATGAGGTTGCTGGTGCTTTGGAGGACCCTGAGGTTAGTTTTTATGGGAAGTCCACTTTGGTTTAATACTTCAAATTATTGGAAGCTTTTCTTAAACTAAATTTGGCAGCCTAATGAGAGGTTTAGTGATATTTGTTGGTGAACCTTTTGGGGGGGGGGGTCATTCTATTTAATAGAGAATGAAGGAGGAGAAGGGAAGTTGGACCAAACTCTTTCTCTTTCCTATTTGAGACCCAAATGAACAGCTAGTTGACCTTTGCTAAGAGGGGCGCAGGTTCAGCAGAAATTTTGATTCCTGCAGTTGAGCTTTTTCTTGTTGGAAAAGTTAAGAAGTAAAGCTCCAAAGGAACTTTCAATATGCAAATAAAACATTCATCTAATACTGTTTTGTTTATTTATTTTTTGTCAAGTTAATTCTATAAACTGAAGAAAAGATATGCATCTACAAGCTCTCTGAGGATAGTTAAATCTGTCCCCAAACCATAGGAAAAGAAAATGAATAAAAGATGGAAATTTTGTGATACTTTTTTTCCTTAATAATAAAATTAGATAGAGAAACCTTCCCATGTGCCTAAAAAGAAAATATTGTTTCCATGAAATTCAAATGAATGATGAACTAGCGAAGAGTGTTGAATTATATCGGATAATATAAAGCTACCTCCACAGGTGTAAACCGACTTATTTGGGTGTCATCTGTGTTTTCTCCTTATATTTTAAGCTACCTAAGCTGCTGTACTTGATAGTTGTACTATTAATTTTTCTACCTCCAACGACTGTAGTATCAGTTTTCTGTTGCAAAATTCTTCTCTTCCCAGATCATTTCAGATCTTTAGCTCAAACATTTTTCTTTTGCCTCTCTTTTCTATCATTAATATATAAAGAAGATGGTTCAACTAATTTCACTGCCCTTACAAACCTTAAGCTCAAACATTTTCCACTTGCGTCTGCTTTCTACTGTTCACTGAAGGAAATGGTTTCACCAATTCAGTCTTCTTTCATTTCACTGCAAGAATTCTCTTTAATGTTCTATTCCATGGGGTTTTCAATCTTAAATCGATGTTCCATTTCACAGCCAAATATTTGCATCTTATTTTTATGAGATGCTATTGGAACTCTTTTTTTTTCTTCTCCCCAATCCCCTCCCTCCTCCCAAATAGATGGGAAATGCATCATGGCTGGTTTGATCAAGGAAATGAGAGATGAATCGAAAGCTAAAAAAACTGCACACCGAAAAATTAATTGCATATAAATAAAAAGGATCTTATGAGTAAATACTTTTCTTGATGCAGGCTAAGATGGTATATACAAAGGCAATTTATGATTCTGTAAGCCAGCAGTATAATGTGCTAAATTCTGCTATACATGGCAAACAAGGACTGGAGGCTTCAATACCTAGTGTTTCATTGTCACAACCATGGCAGTAGCTTCTCTTCCAACTTTATTTTTCATACCTTGTTGCTGTAGTCAGGTATGTACTTCACCAAAAATGATCTGTTGACAAAATTTAAACTGGAACAATTGGCTTCAATCCATGTATGTCTGATTCTTGCTTTGTCGGTATATATTACTAGTTTTGCAGATGTTTGTTTGGCAGTTACTATCAAATCACAAGGATTACACTCACAATCTTTCCACATACCACGCTTGCATGTGGTTAGTCTCTGCGGAAAGTTGATACAAACAAAGTAATTCTTGAAGTTACAGCAAACATAATCTGAAGGATTTTTTTTTGGCAGGGTTAGATGATTCTTTTGACACGAATGTACAGTTGCTTTACATTGTATTTGTATCAAATGTTAGATTCAAATTTGTTAGTAATGATAGCTTTCAAGTACTGTTATGACTTTCTAAGGTTTAGTGTTAGTAGCTATTCTAGATTGCTGCTCATCTTACCTTTGAAGTGGTAATCCAATTTGTTGGGAAATATAATATTTGATGCTCTGCTACAGTTGTGTGCGTGTATTGTAGTTTCTATAAGCGTTAGATGCTATTTGATGCAACATTTGACAGTATTGTCTCAAAAGCTCAGGTGTAGTTTCTACGGTAGTGACTATTAACCTATCTCCTTCGATTGGCCGCGTAGTGTGATTTAACCTATCTCCCACTACAACATGCATATTCCAGCGGGTTCTCCTGGCTCATTGTGGTCTCTCCTTTTAATTTATGTTCTTTGTAAACTTTCTCTACTTGTGCTTCCAGACATCCTGTAAATATTTTGTCTTAGTCCCTTTACATGGACATGTTTCTTTGATAACTACCTTTTTGGTGTCGGTTTCAACCCAAGAAATTGTTTTGGTGAGGCATTACGTATCTAAGCGTGTCTTGTTACAACAGGGTCATTTTATGCACTATGATGAAGGCACAGCACAGAATTTAATTTTTTGATCAAAATTTCTTTTTTGAGTCAGGCATACAGATGACGTTTTAAAATGAAATAAGTACTCTTTTTTGTCCAATTTTGAATTGATATGTATTAAAAATAATGATTTGCATAGTGATTTTACTATTTTATCTTTATTAGTTATGATGTGAATAAGTCGAATTTTTTTTATTATATCTTAATTTGTTTAAATAAATAAATAATTAATTATGCTAAAAAAATAAAAATGAATAAGTAATCATAATACCAATTTCTAGCAACAATCCAAAACTCAAATAATATCAAAAAAATAAAAATAAGTCAGCATGACATGTGTCCCTCCTGACAACAAAAATTACACAAATTTTGTGAAGCAGAATTTAATTCAAAATAAAGTAAAACGTGCCAAATCCATCTCCACCATCTATAAAACCGAAGGTCTCAAATCACCGTCGACAACCACCGCTTCCGCCGCCATTTCCACGGTTACACCGCCGGAGGACGTCCGTTTCCAAAAGTAATTAAATATGTCCACTCTCTACAATCCTCTAATTTTCACCATTAAAAACCCAAAAGGCAGCCTTAAACCTCACACTTCCCTTCCTTCTTCTGTCCCGACTTTTAGGCTTCGTAAATTTCAAAATTTCTCAGTTCAATCCTCCATTTCCTCATCCAATGAGCCGGAAAAACCCACCTCTATTACACCGGATAATGATAAAGCTGACGATAAAATGGTCGAGTTCGTGGATGAATGGGGAGAGAAGTCGGAGCCCGAACCCGGACCGGTTACGAAGTTAGCGGATTCGGATCCTCCGGAGTATGATGATGAGTGGGGTAATGGAAGTCCCGGAGTTGACGTGAGTGGTGAAGAGGACGAGAAGCTTCTAGAGCTGAAAAGGTGTTTGGTGGATACAGTTTATGGGACGGATTTCGGATTTCGGGCTTCATCAGAGATTCGGGCCGAGGCATTGGAGTTCGTTTGTCAGTTGGAGGCAGCCAATCCTTCTCCAGCACCAACTGAGTCTCCTGAGTTGCTTGATGGGAACTGGATTTTAGTGTGAGTTTTTTTGCTTCATTGCTGGATCATTCAGTCACTTCTTTTACTATAGTTCCTCCATTTATTACGTTTTGTGTTGTTTTTATATGAAACTAGCTGAGTTTTGATATCTTCTGCAAGCGTGCTGGCTTTGGTTCGGAAAAAATGGGTGGTTTACACTTTACAGGACAAACCAAATAACAATCTCTAATAAATTGATATTGATCTCACGGGGCTTATATTTAAGGTTAATGGGTAGTTTCAGATAATCAAATGACTTTGATTTCATTATCTATGGGTTAAGGCATTGATAGAATGGGTACTGGTATGCTTATCTTGAGCATTGACACCACAGAACAAGTTGCTCTCCCTAATTCTAGGTGCATGATAGAAGTTAATCGTACAATGTAGGCATTGCACCCAAAGCAGTAGCTAGAACTTTATGATGGGAGTTCACTATGCAAGATAGGTGCATCATAACAGTTATAAGAGGGATCTCGAGATTGGCCTCTAAATAAGCACCTTATGAGTTGAGCGGTCAGACGGTTACTTGTCAATATACTTGCATTCGGCTGTATCCTCCAGTTGTTAACAACCATAATTAAAGACCATGTATCTTTGTTTGTCCTGTAATAACATGCTTTGGATTTCCGAGAATTTCATAAACTAATTAGCCTGGTAATCTGGGAATAGGACGAACCAATGCTTCTTGGATTATTTTAATCTTGATGCCATGTATTTTCAACTAAGTATTGCACTTTCTTCACATCGCAACTACCATTAATCTAATCTAAACAATTGTCTGCAAACTTTAATGTGAAATGTATTTTGTTTTTCCTTCATACCCTTTTGGCTAGTCAAACTAGAATCTATTCAAGAGTGCAACAAGAAAATTGTTGTAGTTACTGGAGCTTGAGCTCATGATTCATATTCATTCTATGGTTCACATATCACAGAAGAAAACCTGAAGGCTGAAGATTGTTGTTGTTATTATTATGTCTTTGGTTTTACTGGGAAAGTCGAGTTTTAGTAAGTACTGTAATTTTAAATGCTTGGAAGTGGTGATAGACTGTTTTTAATAGTTCTGAAGTACAATTTTATAGGATTAAATCTATGAACTTAAAATCGATGACATTTACTATCTTGGTTCACATATCACATAAAAAACCCTGAAGGCTTAAGATATGCCTTGTAAAGCTATATTTATAGTTGATATCCTGTTCAGGGTTTATTCGTCTATAACATAGAGTAGGAAAATGTCATTGAGGCATAAATGTTGATGATACTTGCTGTGTGCTATGCATTATTAAAAGTTTATTTCTTCATAAGTTTATTTTTAAAGATTTTTGGTTGAACACATCGACAACACCTTAAAATATGTTATCTCCTTCAATTATACACAATAGTCTTAATAAGCCGTCAGGCCTATTCGATGTCGATGTATATGAATAAAGGGATGATTTGTAACTTAGCCCAATCTTAAGGGACAATTTTGGGCTTTTCCTCCTGAACATTGTAACTTTAGTTGTGAAATTTCATGCAGAAACTGATTTGAAGTAAATGATAAGTGATGTATCAGCAAAGAATCTTATTTTTCTTCCTCAATCTGTCAGGTTCACTGCATTTTCCGAGTTGTTACCTCTTCTTGCTGTGGGTAACATTCCTCTGTTGAAGGTAGAAAAGATTAGCCAAGACGTAAATACAAACAGCTCGACTATAGAGAATGCGACTACATTATCAAGCCCTGTAGCCACCTTGTCCTTTAGTGCTACTGCCACTTTTGAAGTTCGAAGCCCCTCTAGAATACAGGTATACTCGTTGACTCCATTCTGATTTCCTTAGAAAGGTACTTGCAGCAATTTTCTGCACAAAGAGAGAAAATGAGAATTTTGGATCTAATTATGCAAGATATTGAGAAATTGTAGGGGTCGATTATGTTTTTTTGGTTAACTTCTGTAGAGTATGTTGGGAGTTTTTTAATTTTTCCTTCCGCATTTGGCTGACAACTGCTTACTTTTGCAGGTTGAATTCAAGGAAGGGAATTTTAAACCTCCAGAAATAAAATCGAACATAAATCTGCCGGAAACTGTGGATTTGTTTGGGCAAAAGATAAGTCTCTCTCCTGTACAGCAATCTCTAGGTCCTCTGGAAAACGCTGTGGCAGGCATAGCACGAACTATTTCTGGTCAGCCTCCTCTCAAGATCCCAATTCCAGGTGGAAGGACAAAATCCTGGCTTCTCACAACCTACCTTGATAAGGATATGCGGATCTCCAGAGGCGATGGTGGGCTTTTTGTGCTTGTTAAGGAAGGGAGTTCTCTTCTATATTAGTAAGGTATCCATTATCCTATATTGTGATTTACAAATGTCTTAGGAACTGCAATGGTATGTACTGCTACATCGATTTATCGCGGGATGTAGAGTTTAAAACTCCTTAGCTGTAAGGTGGGACACTCTTTTAGGACTCAAGTACTTGCACTGAATTATCTCAGGATCAAGCTGTGAGATTAGTCCTAGTAAGAAGTGTGCTGAAATAAAATGTGATATAGCTTTGCATTTTCCTATGTAGTAAGATAACGATGTTTCAGTAATTTGGAGGTCAATCATCTGTAATTTCAGCTTATCTGGAAAGAAAATAACTTAACAATTACGTTTAATCTAGACTTAGCTAATTCTAATTTGGCAGCAACTCATATACACCATAACTACCCATGAAGATACCCTTCTTACTTGTTTTAGAGAAGACTGCAATATTGGTTCCCATTCATATTACCACTCTCTCAACTTGAGTAACCAAATAATTTTACTATAGAGATTTATTTGTGATCGAAGTGACTTCGATTGTATAAATATCTTTTACGACGTTATGTAACTGTGCTGCTACTGAGTCTAAGATGTGTGTGGCACACCACACTTTTTCTTTTAGGAAGATGGCAGTTAGCCTTGAAAGTCTTCTTGATGAAAGTTGAACTTTTCTTTGACCCAAAATTTATTTATGATAGTAATAATTGAAATAGTTCTAGACTTTCTCCAAGTCAACGGTAGTTCTGTAGCAACCAAGTCAAAATTGAAGACTTCTATTTTTCACCAAAAGCTTTCTAAGAATGGGTTGTTCAAAGAACACATGAGCATCTCCAGTCAACTACAAAATCCTTCAAGTCTTGTTTAGACTCGTGGATTTGAAATTTGACAAATTCACTAAATTGTTCCCTTTAGAATTTTTCTTCTTCTTGTTTTGCTATCAGATTATAATTGTTTTATTTATAATAAAAAAAAGTTAAAAAACAATTAGAACTGTTATTTCATTAGTGTGAGGTTAAAAACAATTATTACAAAAAGTAAAACAAATTAGGAAAATAATTATAATATGGCAACCCAAATTTGGAGACTATTTTGAAATTATTCCTTAACTTAATTATTGTTCATCCAATAGTTGATTAACTAGGCACTTTTTTTTTTTTGATAATTAAGTGATTTTTTGTCAGGTTATATTTTCCAAGGTCTAAATGATAATACAGGAAAATTGGCCCTGTGTTGATATAATAAAAAGTATTAAAGAACATTTCTAAGGGTTATCAATAATTGATAGCTTTTATAATTAGTGGATTAGTGGTTTGGTTATTTTTTTTAATCGAACAGGTCTTTTGGCAGCTGCATTGTGATTTATGGAGACCTTTAATTTGTGAGAATAATTAATCAAATAGAAATTAAGAAAAAATGAATAAAATATAGGAAGTCGCACATCATAATTATATGCCATAACATAAATTAGTAGCGTCATTTCACATAATTTAGTCAACCTCACCCCACACCACCTAAGCTAATACCAACCTTCCAAAAGGTCCCTTTAGTGTTAACATAATTCTTTTCGTTAATTGTTGTGATGGTTCTGATCTTTCTATCAATAATTAGAGATACGTAGTTTTAATGTTCTGGAAATGAAAGAAATTATATTGCAAGTGTTGCTTTAAGAAAATACTAGGACCCTTATAATACGTAAATCCAAATTGATTCGAATGAAAACAAAAAAGAGGAAAGTTCCAATCAAAAGCACCAACAATCATAAAGTACAATTATTGTCAACAACTCAATATACTAAATTCAGAATTATTGAATGCTAACTCATAAACTACCAAATGTCCTACCAGCAGGCTCGCTCTTTCAAAATTCTATTCAAATATCCATGTATCTCCTAAATCACCTATTTGCTTCGACTCAATTTATGTTATTGTTAATATTATTTGAATTTTGATTCGGCACAAAGTTCTGGTTTTTTTTTTTGAAAGGATTTGAAACATTTTTTGTGACTTTTTGTGCCTATAAATATTTCATTAAGATAAAAGAGAAATTATATACTTAGATCCTTTTAAAATTATAAAAAAAAAATGACATTCTATTTGGGACAGATTAAGTGAACCTTGATATCCGAAGGTTATATGTACACCAAACTACTTTTTTTTATATATATATTTTATAAATTAATTGGCCGGACTATGCATTGATAAATATCTCGTCTTTAATTATTTTATTGACTTCTCCTTTCATAATTAAACTAGTCATCGACCTTGTAGAAAATCTTTCATCATTACTTTTCGATCATTTGTGAAAAATGTTGAGCATTGTCTTTTCAAATTATTTGATTGAAAATACACTTCATCATCAACCATGGTCAGAGCTAAGGCCGTAAGGGTTCATCCAAACCTCATACTCTAAATAATTATATAGTATATACGAGATAAAATTAATATTTTTATATATGTATAATATATAGATGTTGATTTTTTTTTTAAAATCTTGATTATGGGAAATTCTGAATCAGCCAATCGGCACTATCACAATCTATTTTTGTTTGTTGTCATAAAATATTGAAAAGCCAAAACAGGCCCACACGACATGGGGAATCTGCCATGCCAATCACGAAAAGGTAGTACTAGTAATTACAATAAGAAGTCTAGGCTGAAAAAAACAAAAAGAGAATGAAATTAATAGTTTATTTGTTAAAATATTTATCGTCCTTATTGAAAATATATATACTTCATACTTGTTACTTTAATAGTTTGTTTTTGTTTGATTTAATATTTTAAATATATATTTATTTATTTATTTTTATTGTCAAATTTATCACGTTAAGAAAAAAATTATTTTACCAATATTAATTACTTTCATGACTTAAGATTATAAATCAATATATGCAGTAAAATATGTCAATTTTATGAAGAAACATATAAAGTTCAAAGTTAAGAAGTAAAAGTAAATGAGTGAACTAATTTAAAAGTATAAAGATAAAACTATTAATCTCTTTAAGATTACATTTAATTGCCATGACAGGTGGTAGATTAACTATTTATCTATATTTAATTAATTGAATGATTTTTTTTTACAAATTTAGAAATAAAATTAATAATTTATACCATTTTTTAGATACTTCTACTCTCTCTTTAAAATTAAAAAGAAGAGAGTTGACAAAGTCATAAACGACGTGCTTTATCCTCACGAAACTCCCGTGTTTTGTGCCGCAACTTTTTGCCCTCCTCGACTCTCAAGTCCATTCATTTCATGTTTCATCAATCATCATCATAATTTTATTTCTCCAAAAAAATTAAGTATATTTTACTTAAATAAAACAGGAATATTGACTACTGCACAAACTATATAAAAAAACCTTCTTTTTTTTTCTGCTGGTACAAAAGAAACTAAACAATCTGAAAATTTGCCAATTGTGTTCTTCTCATACATGATGTGTTTGCTTCTTTTAAAAGAATACGATTTACTGTCAATTTAGTGCAAGCAACTTATTACTAAAAGAATATATTAGCACTAAGCACCTTCGTAACTTAACAAAGTCTATAACTACAATTGAGTAACAAAATCATTTTTGCATAAATTTAATCAAATTATAATACAATGAATAACATTTTTTAGAAGTTCTTTTCTCTTGCTCTTTATAAATATCACAACTAATAATATGTAGCCTTTATTGTGAAAAAAATAAAATAATATATATATATAAAATATATGATAGTTAAATTTTCTTCTTCTTTGTATAACCTTTTCTATATTTATATCAAAATTTGATTAATTTAAATTTACGGCGTATTCAAATGTTCATATTTACAACTTAAATTCGAGTGTTATTTATAAGAAGAGGAGACCCCATCCCCTGCCCCATTGGTTAGATAACCTTCTTACGTTATAGGAAAACCAACTCTGTTTAAAGAAACAATATAAAAAGTCTTTCTGTAGACTAATGACAATAATCATCTCCAATTCATTTGGGAAGAAGTTGTCAATATTTTCTTTCAATATCAATTCTACAAATCTGTATAACTTTTCCTTGTAATTCAACAAATTCATAGAATTTGGTGGATCCATTACCAAGTCCAAGAAAAATAGCTATTCGAAAGTGACACAAAATTGAGCAAAGAGTAGTCAAAAGGTCAGTAGAACAGCAAGAGAAAGAGGACGGCACGAATAGCAGGAAAACAGAGTACCCAGTTGGTTGGAAAAGGGTATCCATTGATATTCTTTCTTTGAAGGACAATTTTAATCTGCAGATCAAGTGTTTGATTTATTGCTTCACAGAGAAATATGAGCAATAAAGCACCTGTTAAGTTAGATGATGAGCAGTTGGCTGAACTGCGAGAAATTTTCCGATCGTTCGACAGAAATGATGATGGGAGTCTAACCCAACTCGAGCTTGGCGCGCTATTGAGGTCTCTTGGTTTAAAACCAAGTCCTGATCAGCTCGAAACTTTGATTCAAAAGGCGGATAAAAACGACAATGGCCTTGTTGAATTCTCGGAGTTTGTATCACTCGTAGCACCGGAACTTCTTCCAGCGAAGTCCCCTTACACAGAGGAACAATTGAAACAGCTATTTAAGATGTTTGATAGGGATGGAAATGGTTATATTACGGCTGCAGAATTGGCTCATTCTATGGCGAAGCTTGGACATGCTTTGACTGCTGAAGAACTTACTGGGATGATCAGAGAAGCTGATACTGATGGAGATGGCAGGATCAGCTATCAGGAATTCACTCAGGCGATTTCTTCGGCTGCTTTCGACAACTCTTGGGCTTGATATGTGAATCTCCTTTCGGTATATCTTGTCAATTTCTGTTCATCTAGTTTAGATATATATGTTTTGTTTGTTAATGTACTTTTTGTTGTATGTTTTTAGTGAGTTTACTTTCCGACTTCCTCTGCTAATGTTAAATGTGTATATTATTTCAAACGATGATCGCTATGTTGTTTCTGGGATTTAAACTGATATACTCTCTTCTACGTGACTTTTTCTCCCATTGATTTAGCATTGTATTAAGTTTTACTGGATTATGTGATCGAGTAATACATATAAACTTTACCAGATGAATTTGGACTTTAAATGAACATGTAATTAAGTGTGATTCCTGCATTTATTTCTTAACTTTAAATGATCAAGTTAGTGTGACATAGTTATAATGGAACAGACCAGCAGAAAAGGAATATGATTGCAACGGTCTAGATGGTGGCATAGGTATAAGCATTCTCTGATTTTAACCTAATCATGAGCCAGGAAATTTACACTCTCCTTGTTAAAATTAATGTGCCATTAGATGTTGTAGCCATCAAACAGGAGAATACATCGATTTATGCTCTACGTGTTCTGATCAAAGAATTTCAATTATCTACTTGTAGCAGGCCTCCTGTTCTTAGCAAAATAGTTGGAAATGAGCGTTGGTGCCAAATGAAGAAGTAGAGGATTTAAGATGCAGAGTTGGTGTTGTTGTGTGCTTACATCTTAATGTATTGCTTCTATCTGTGATGATGCAACATTATCTTAGTTTAGCATCCGATAGAACGTTTCTTGCCTAGAGAAGAGATACTTCTTTTGTCATTCATTTTCCTTTATGATTTATTATTGTACTTTCTTTTTAGAGTAAATAATACTGTTTGAGTGATAATTTTCAGTTTATGTTAAGAGTTTTTTCATACAAGGGTTTCATTAGACATAACAATGTTTTCTTCCCAGCATAACTAAGTTTAACTAAACAGAAAAAAAATAAAATCTAGATAGGAACAAACAACTGGTTTTACTATTATTAGAAAGATAATGCAATATCCAAGTAATAATATGACACAAAATTGTTCTGTAGAATAATATATACATAAGCAGCAGACAATAAGTACTTAATTTTGCAATCTTATTGGCTTCATTATATTGTATCCTTAAACTAGTCTGAAAGAGTGCATCTTCTGATCAGGTACTCCAAGTCTGCAGCCAAAAGGATTAACCCTTGATGTTATCCCGTGAGTTTCACGCATCCTAGTACATAATAAAGCTTGTTGAATAAATGGATGTTGAAGTAGTTGTTGCGTCGTCCATCTTTTTAGAGGATCCTTTATCAAACACTTGTACAAAAAATCTCTGGCAATCTCAGAAACATCACTAGGAACCATTGGTTCTTCATTCATAATCTTCCATTGCAAATCCTTAGTGTCGCGATAAATCCAAACGCGACACCCAGTCATCATCTCTGCCACAGTACACCCTAACGACCATATATCATAACTCCTGCCATGAAAACCACTGATCAAAGATTCTGGGGGCGCGTAAGGTAGAGTCCCTCTGTTGCTCATCGCAGCACCAGTCATATATGCCACACCTTCGGGAACTCTCAACGACAATCCAAAGTCAGCCAACTTTAACTTGTGCATCCCACCACGTTCAGCGTTGTTGAAAATCAAAACATTAGCAGGTTTAATATCACAATGAACCCACCCTTTCTCATGAACGTGTTGAATACCCTTTAAGAGTTGATATGCATAGAAACCTACTTCCACTTCAGACATCCGTATCCTTCTCATCTTCGAATTAATGATCAAATCGTGTAGCGATCCACCATATGCATACTCAAGAAACAGATTGTAAGTTGAGACATTACCGTTATCGATGCTAACGTCTGATCCAATGAACTGAACCACGTAAGGTGAATCTTTGAGGGTTGTCAAGATTTCTGCTTCTCGTTGGAGTGAAACAGAACGGTTCATATCAGCACATTTAACAGCAGCAACAGAAACACATAACGAAACAGGATCCATCTTCACTGCATAATAAACTTTGCCGTAAGAGCCAGCGCCAAGAACGTAAAGCTTCTTCCACTGATCCATAATAATATTTTCACTTTCTTCTCACTAATTTTTTTTTTTTTTTTGGTTATTGAATGATTGTGATAAATAATAAAAGGGTAGTTACTTCTTTTTATAGAGAAAAAAAATTATTCAATCCTTGGTTGATATGGAAAAGGTGAAGAGTTAATTTTGGTAACTTTTGCGTATCTTACCATTGTATTTATTTTTGGTAACTTCTTAAAATCAAAACTTTGAGGGCAACACGGTGTACACTTATTTGTACTTCAAATTTGTAAATTCAAAAAGTTTCTAAAACTTTTAAAGTAGTTTTTTCCCAAAATTTTATATACACGGCAACATAATTAAATAGTTACCAAAAAATTGTACGTATGGTTAAATTTACCATGAAGCTAATTACTGTTAAGTTGAGTAATCACGTAGCTTTGAAATTATTCTAGGTACTTAAACCAAATGGTGTTAAATTTAAAGAACGCAAATGTAATTAAAATGTAACTTGTTATTAATAATTATAAGAAATTAAAGCTCAACTTTAAAAAGGTTTTTCTTCTATCCCAAAATATTTATCATATTTCATTTATCGAAAATCAATTTATTTAAATTTTGTCTAATATTTTAAGGTGCAATTTTCCACCATATTAATATGAGAATAGTTGTAATGTATATTATTTTAATATTATTTTTGAATGTATCTAAATTTTAAATTTTGAATATTGAGCAAATCTAATCTAATTTAGCTCTAAGATTAATCATATGAACGTTATTGAGAAATGAGGAATGCTTGGCATTGAAATAGCTCCCTCTTATCTCCACGGGCGGAGCCACCATATACTCTTTCGACGAAAAATTATATAATTTATATATAATTAAAATAATTTTTTATGTATATATAGTAGATTTCATACCGCCTTTGGTTACTTCTGTGCTTATTTTTACATATTTGAAATTCACTTGTCAAAAATTCTAATTTCAACACTACTTATCTCCCTCTTTTATATCTCGTTTATCATAAACTAATTTATAAACATACATTTTGCCCGTGTATATAAACTACTTACAATAAATTAACTAAGATATTATTTGTAATTGCATTCGAGGTATAAATAATATTATTTAACGGTAAATCATTTAAGTGGTCTTTCTTTTACAAGTATGTGTATTAGATCATCTCCCATTCATCTCTATTTTACTCTTCATTCTCTATATTTGGAGAGTAACACAGAGAATTGATTCTCTAACCACTCTCTATTTAACTCTCTATTCTTAAATTATAGAGAAGCGCTCACTATTTACTTTTTGATTATTATAATATTATTTCTATTATATTACTAATTTAATATTTATCACTTGTAACAAGATACTACTTCCGTCAAATTAATCAAATTTTTATTTTATTTTTAAAAGGAGATTGTCACTTTAAATATAAAACTTAAAGTTATTTTAATATTAATTATATTATATAAGATTATTAATTAAATCTCTAATATTTGTAATTATTTCTCAAGTAATATAACATCTAAAACATATTATTGATTTTTAATTATTATTTTTGTCATTTAAATATGTAATTTAGATTACAATTATTTTTCATTATGAAATATGCACAAAATTTACATGATAATTCAAACTACTTTTTATGTTATGGTGATAATTATTAAACTATACTTTTAAATATCAATGAAAAATTATTTGATTCAATAGTTCAAAATAGAATATGGGAAGTAAATAGTACACAAAATTATTGGATACAAGATGAAATTGTTAATTTATACAATTTTTAGCTACGCATAAAAAATAAGGACAAAAAATGTTCATTTTGAACTCCGTAATACATTGATAGAACATTCATAACTGCAACGTAATAGTCTTGAAAGTTTAGTATTTATATAAGATTTAAAATAAATTTTATGATAATACAATATTTATGATGCAATTATATTTCATCAATGATTTCACTTTTATTTGAATTGTTCGTTAATATGTATTATATATACTCCTTCCGTTTCAAAAAGAATGTCCCTTATTTTCTTTTTAGTCTGTTTCAAAAATAATGACCCCTTTCCTTTTTTGACAACACTTTAACTTTAACTTTTCACATGTCATGTTTAAGGCCACAAGATTAAGGGGTATTTTGGTACATTTGACATAAGTTTAATTTCGAACCACAAGATTAAAAAAAATTCTTTTTTTTTCTTAAACTCCGTTCTAAATCAAAGTAGACCATTCTTTTTTAAACGGAGGGAGTAATATTTATCGCAATTTATGTTATTTAGAATAAAATATAATTTTGTATTAAATGAAGAACTTGAAAAAAAATTGAATTATATAATCTTTATAGAGTGATTATTTTCAAAAAGAAGAAATAATTTATATTATGAAATTAATAAATTAAAATGAAATAGAAATAATAAATAATATTGAGGAGAGTGAAAAAAATAATTCTTCTTTAGAGAGTAAAATAGAGATTTGGATCTGAGTTGATTGTCTGGAAAATAGAGAATTTTATATTTAGAGAGTAAACTAGAGGATACAGTTGGAGAAGATAAAAATCCGGTCAAGTATAATTAGGTCAAGTAATGTTCAATGGTCTTATAGATTCATGTCATGTGTACTACATAATAATTTATGGTTAAAATCTATTTAAATTGTATACTCATTATAATTATAAAAATAACAAAGCTATAAATTTTTTTTATTTTCTAAAACTATCAAATAATGCAATTAAGTATACCTAAGCTAATATTTTTTAAAAAAAAATTAAGATTGACAGGATTATGCAAATTTCTTTATTTTTTACCCGCCAACGTACATGTAATTTTGTACTTGAAGAAAATGTAACTTATTCTAATAATTATTAAAAAAATTAAAGCTCAATCTTATGAAGGGATTTTTTCAATCCGCAAGTACTTATCTTGTTTCAGCTACTTAAATTTTTAACTAATATTTTAAGATGCATTTTTTCACCATATAAATATGAAGATAATTGTAACTTAATAGTACTTTTAATATATTTTTTGAATTTAGATTTCAAAAGTTAATTTGATTCAATTTATCCCAGAAGATTAATCAAATCAACATTAAAGAAGTGAAGAGCCCTCTTGTCTCCCTCTTTCATAATATTACAAACTAATTTATTTTGAACACACGTTTTGCATGTATATTTTTTGTATGAGTAACTAACAAAAAAAATTGACTTCAATACTATTTGTTATTGCATTAGAGGCTACAACAGAGTAGAAACAACAGAAGAATCAAGGTTGGTTGAGGTACACACAGGTCAGAATCTGAAACGAATGTACAATATTGACTGTTCAGCCAAAAGAAAACAGAGACTAAAATTTTTTCATGACGGCACTGATCTAGTGAGCTTTTATTTGTGCCGTATATGCACCTTCTGCAGACGTTCAAGTCCACTAGTGTAAAAGCCAAAAGGCAGCAACAGAGTAGTTAATGGATTAGCTTCGTTGAATCCACTGCAATATGTCCGGTCGGATCACTCCCTCAAAACCATGTTTCATGGGTTTGAAACTAGTAGGCGAAACAGTGTTTAACTGCCTGTATTGGATATTTGTTCCAGCTGGGCTTCTTGGTTTCATCATCATGGAAATGGTCGGGTATGCTTTCTGCCATGTGTTACTAGCTGAGGTAAACAGATGCCTGCTGCTGGATTCCTTGTCTTTGCCAGCACCGTATTTCTGGAAAGCTTCAGGCTTGGGGGAGTGAGATGAGTTCCTAAGCTGCTTAGTTGCACTGGTAATTGCAATGTTATCTGAGCCTCGAATATTAGCAGATGGCTTCATTTTGTCAAGCCATCGAAGGATCCAATTACCAAGGTTCCGACCAGCTTCAATATCTCTTTCCTGTACCTTGCGATGAACGATCAGTGCCATATCAAATGCAGCTCGTGTTCGCCTGGAAAAGAAAGAAATATTTGAAAAACAATAATACAAGGATGAAGGAACAAAGCAATAAATAGTAGAAAGAAAAGATCCTAAACAAGCATAATCAATTTTGGACAGAAAAGATCATAAACAAGCATCGAACAACAGGGAAAAACCATCCTTAGGCTAATCTGGCAATATTAACAACCTTGAATATTATCCAATCAACAGGTGACAGGGTACATCTCAAATATGAAGAATAAAAAAGGTAGAGACAATGTGAAAATATTGTGTGTTGAAACAGGACCAGTAAACATTAGACATTAACACTTCCACAAGGTGAAGAATTTGATCTCACTACCGTAACAAGAAAATTGAGGAATTACATACTAAATATACCATATAAAGCTCAACACAGATTCATATTCATGATAAACTTGGATGTGTACACGCTTGACAACAAATACCTAATTAAATTTGCCACAGTTCATGTCATGGATATACTACCTTGTATCAACACACACACAACATTTTCTTCCGGGCCCTACATTACTGATTGTTGTCATGAAGAATATTCACTCTCAGCTCATCCTGCTGACTTAAAAGCTATATCTAGCCTCTTCTTCCTCCTCATATCAACAGTTGTTCATACAAGGCGTGAACAAGAGAAATTATGCTTTTATATCACTCAGAATCATTGATTGAACAGTATACTATTTCAACATGGCATAACATGGACAATGTGGTGAAGATGTGGTTAGTTTGGTCATATTAATTGAGATATTTTGACATCTACTACCAACTCAGACAGTAAACTAACTCATAGATTTTGATGAAGAGAAATATCAAAAGTTCTCTTCTAATTTTATTATCCTCATTTTCCTTAAACAGTAAAAGAATCCACTCTTTATCATTTATATATTTACTTTAAATTTTCTCAGACATGCATGCAGCATCTTTATCCATATCCTTCCATCTTGAACATAAAGGATTTGGCAAATCTAACACCTTAAAACACATAAATGATCTAATGGATGACCTAACGTGCCTACACAAATCCAGGAAATATAGGCCAGTGTTGCATGTTAAACTGAAAAGTGCTCACCTCACCACCTACATGCATCATCAGCTCTAAAAGTATTTACCAAGCAACTGTTCTTGAGATATAAGACAAGCATATATTCCAGTCCCATTGCTTATAGAAAATTTAACTTTCACGAAATTCCAGGAACAAAAGAAAGAGATGTACCTGAAACAATCTTATTCCAACAAGATTGTCAAATGTCGGGGGAGTCCGAGAGACAAAACTGAGAAATGGGACATTGAATCCACCATTACCACTTACTAGAAGATAGTTCATTTTAAACACAAAAATAAGTAATTTCCAAGCTAAGAGACCTTTATTCAATAGTTGGGAACAAAACAATGGATCTGAAAATCCATATCAACAATACTCAAACAAATAAGAACAAAATCAAGTGGTTGAAGCTGGAATAGCAAACTTTTGCCGTTTTATTTGAAAGAACAGCAACCATTGTCACTGAGAATGACTAAAAGCAGAAAGATACATGGGATGATGGGATGGGTATCATGACAAAAAAGGTCATTTAGGAGAAAGAACTGTATAGTACTACAATCAAGAACCATTACGCTGAGCTAAAATAACAATAAAAGTTGATGAAGATATAACAATAAGAAAATGACCAAGATAACATTTCGAGCTTAGACACCTATGTGAAGTTCTCCTCTTGACGGACTCCTCCAAGACAACTTCTCCATTTGCATTGGGGAAAAGTGACAAGTTTGTCACCGAGTCCTATAGAAACTATGTCAAATACTAGAACATGAAACTGCATATGCATTCAAACTGGGCCCTGAAATTGGAAATGTCCGCCAAGGACGCTGAGTCATCCTAAGCTTCTCTCTTTTTCCAACATTGTCCTAAACTTCTTTTCACCTTCCTTTCTATTAGTAGTGTTGCTCCATAGAAAGCCGAGAGTAGTAACAATAGATGATCGCTTTTGTCGATACATTAGTCTCTCAATCAGTTTTATCGTAATAATAACTCCCAATCAGTTTTACCCTACTATTACTCTTCCAATGTCTCTCACACTCTCTTTCTCTCATGGTTCTCCCAGTCCTGATAGCAAAAAAAGTTTGCCTCAAATTCAACTTTGTCTTCTATCCTTGCCTCTTTTCTCATTCTTATCCTCTCTCTCACTCGTCTTTCTCCCCTCCTCCTATCTCTCCTCTCTCATTCCTATTACCCTAGTTTTTCAATCATTAGATAAAATGCAGAGACCATGTACATTAATATCCCACAGTAACCTATCTTTAGCCTCTTGCTCTCCATTCCCCTCATTTACCTAAAAGCACGAGGACAATGACAATGGCAACCGCTGCAAACACTCATATGCTATTGCTTATTGTATGATTAATTATGAAGCTGTTTCTCCAGATACTAATTTTTCACTTTCCTCTCTGAGACTTGCCCTGAAATTGAGTGTATACACTGTAGAATCAATCACATTGAATCAAATTGCTTGTCTCTATTTCCAGTCAACGGATTGATAAATTATATAAGCTAAGAAAAACTAAACCGAATAATCACAAAAAAAAAATATCATTAGAGATCAAAATCAGATCCAATTCAAATAACAAAATACCTTTGAGCGAAATCACGAAGCCTAGGATACTTTGGACTAATGAGCTTACGCTGAATCCTCAAGAACAGCCTGTAAGTTCGCTTCAGACCCAAAAAATACGCCGTTCCCAATGTGATCTCCCATAGAACCATTTTCTTTCTAGAACTTTCTTCTTCCTCTATCAGTCTCTTTTTCAGGCCAAAAAAAAAAATCTGTTTTTCTTCTTCAAGCTTTATGAGAAAATATGGCGTTTCCGTTTACGTTTTCAACAAGGCAAGTTAAAGTAGTCCCTTTCTGGATAGCCGCCGGAAAGTACCAGCAATTTCCCTTCTGTCGGCTTTCTACCCTTTTCTCTAAATTTGGGCCATTTTGGGCCACGGTAGACTGACGGCCCATTTAAATTAGAATGACTTTCAAAAAAGGAAAAATACTAAAATACATGTATTATGTTTCTCTTTTTTTCAATATACATTCTATTTCTAAAACCCCCTAAAAAAAATTATTTCTTCAATGTATTTGAGATACATATCAATGTTTCCGAACTACGTATTATGTATCCGATTTATGTTATATTGTATTTGAGATACTGTATACGGTTTATGTTATAATGTATCCGAGATACTCTTTAATGTATCCAAGCTACATATTATGTATCCATTTTGTGTTACTTTTTAAGGGATTCATGTAATTACAAACTAAAGAGGGATAGATTGTAATTTAATATTAAAACTGTGTGATTCCTAAAATTTATACTTTCAAAAGTGACTATAGATTAGATGTCAATAATTATAGTTTACTTAATTATGATTCATAGTTATATGTCAGAAGGAGAAGAGAGGAAAACAAGGTTGGTAGAGGAAGGATAGAGGCAACAGAGAGCGTGAACACGTGTTGTATTTGTTGTTTCAAGTTGTATCGCGGAAAACAATTGATTTGTATCAATGAATACAATTATATCAAGTTGTATCAGATTGGATCAACGAATATAATTGTATCAAGTGTATATGTCACTTGTGTATTCACTTTGTATCAAGTGTATAAATGAATAATTATATCAAGTGTATTTGCTCCATGCGCATTTAGTTTGTATCGATGTATTTGAGTGTATCTGCAACTGATTATAAATCTGTATCAATATAATCAAGAGTATTTTGTCTTAAGTGTACATTTATCATGTGTTGTATACTCTTTCATAATATGATTGATACGATATCATATCTTTCTATTGTTCAGCATGAGACCTATTGAGAATTTGGGCGTGAAATCAAAGACGAAATGATTAAAAAGAGTGGTTTCCACCATCTCTCATGTGCTTTGACTCATTTTATATGAACATATTAAATTATCACTCATCTTATGTTGACACAATAGTAATTCTTCCAAATTTAACTGAATTTTCTTCAACAATCTTCAATCCTCATATTGGTCCAATTCTAAAAGCAATGATTGACGGTAGTAGATAAGGCAAAGCGTCAGTTTATAAACACATACAAAAAGTTGATTATCTTAATTAACTTTATTTAAAAAGTATATGTAAGAAAGCAAAGTTCACTTGCCCATTTTATTTCTTTTTAAATAGCTTAAGCTTCCACTTTAAGCAAGAAAAATGGTCCTTCTAGTTTAAAGCCCGGTCAATTACTTGATACTGTTAGAGCAATTTCATGAACAAAATGATTAAAAAGCAATTTTAGTACTTTTTTGTTCTTGAGTTTGACATCAAAATTGAATTTTGATCGTGTTATTGGATTTCCACAACTAATTTTTAAAAAGTCCATGCAATCAATCTTAAAGTTTTGACTTGTTTACAATTTAAAAGGTTGATATAATAAAATGTTTTTTTTATTTATAAATTTTTAAGAATTAAGAAGTGTGCAGAACTAATAGTGAACAAATTAAAAGGAATATGGCACCTATTAGGTGCGGAATAAAAACATCTTTTCGAAAAGTAATTCCTCTTATTTCGCCCACTTATAAGCTAATAAAGTGAACTACAAAATCCTTGTAGGATATTTTAAGAGATTGCAGATTTTAGAATAAATTTTCTTCTTATGTGATCTCTCTTCTTAAAGACTTGTATAGAGATATTAAATTTACGGTACTGATAATTTAAATTATTATTACATATAAAAAAGATGTTTTTTATAAATTAAAAAGGAAAAAATGTCAAATAAGTTAACTTAAAAGACAATATTAAATGAATTAATGTGTAGGATTTTCATAAATATCGGGAACTAAAGTGTCTTTGCAATACGGAAGATTATCTTTCTTACTGTGTTGTCAGAGCTACGGCTGTTTAACACAAATTATTACTCTCTTAATTTTATTTTATTATGTAATATTTTTTGACTTGATATAATATTAAATAAAAAAAATAAAAACTTTTAAAAATTCTTGTCTAGAATAATTTTTTAATATTTGTGTGATTATTATTTATTTTATTAAGAATAAAATAAAATTTTAAAGTTAAATTAATATTAATCACGATAAAATAATATTTTTTAAAAGAAAAAAAGAATAAAATGTCAAATGAAATGAATAGAAGAAAGTATATTATTTTGTTTTTGGCACATGTGTATTCTCAAATTTAATGGTACTATTTGCTGATAAATTCCTTATTAATTACTTTCGATATCTCTAATTACTGATTCACTTTTGAATTAATGTATTTATCAAAAAATTAAGTATTACGTAAATTTATTATTTTATCTTTTTTAATTATAAAATAAATATAATAAATTAAAAAAAAAATTTGATTCATCAAAATAAACGATAAACGAGTATCATCTAGGACGTAGGGAAGATTAATGAACGACACAATTTCAATAAATATAAAGTATTCAAATGGCTAGAGATTTGAGTTTAGGTGGCTAAGTGGAATAGGTGGACAAATCTAGGAGGTAATGTGTACAATTTCATAAATATTGGGGGCTAAACTGTCTTTGTAATAAGGAAGGTATCTTTCCACCTCAACGGTTAGAGTTACGGATGCAATTTATTACTATTAATTATTATTTTATTTTTGTACTCTTATTTTAATGGCATTATTATTTGCGAGTAAATCCCCAGACTACTAAATAACCTCAACAGCTACCAAACACTCGCTTCGCGCACTCTTTCTCAATCGCCGTTTCTCTCTCATTCTCGAATCTCCAGAATCCGGCCAACATGCATAGACAATCACTCGGCTCATCGGGATCGAAGTTACACCTTGCACATGGAGTCGTCCTCGTCGGCGGCAGCAGGGACGAATCCGCCGTCGTGACGGCGGCAGAGTCTCAGAAGATAATGGCGAAGGACCAAGCCTCTCCGTCGTCACTCTCTAACAACTACGATGAAGGAGAAGAACAAGTACGCAAGTCAATCAAGGCTCTTAACAAGTCATTGTCTAGAGCTGAGAAGTACATTCACCTCATTCCTGTTCTCACATTTCTCTGCTTCTTCATCCTCTATCTATTCTCTCACAGTCCGTCTGATAAAGGTACACTGCATCTTAGTTTCGTGATTCAGAGAAAAAACGAACTCGTTTACTGATTTACATGTTTTTTGTTTCAGATTTAGCTCAATTTCAAGGATTTGAAGGCTTCGCTAAGCGTATAGGTATGCATATTGCGCATTTTGTTTCGCCGTTCCGCAATTGTTTCAATTTAGATTTCAGATTTAGTTCCATACTTCCATTATACTCAAGTATTCATCAATTTCAATTCAAAAAAATCGGCTCTCAATGTGTTTTACATACTTCTCAGATGCCTCGTGATCCGTATTTTGCTTGCTCTAATGAGTTCTCTCTTTTTGCTCTGTATATACAGAATCAGCAAATATTGACGACGAGTTGCAGAGAGTATTAGAAACTAAAAAACCGGAAGTTTTAGCGATCCGAAGCGTAAGGAACTTGCAAGAGATTGATAGACAGGATTCAAATCATCGGCGCCACCGAAAACTCGCCGATTTTTAAGCCGCTGTTTGTGCTTCTTACTCTTCTTTATTCTCCGTATATTACTCAACCACCTATTCATGGCGAATTCACCTTCGGCGGAGCTTCTCTCACGTGCGTAACTCGTTTCCTTGCCAATTTTACCGTTTCATTATTACCACGCCTGTGTGCATGTGAATTTCTTATACTAGTAATTTTGGCTGTTTTGAACAAAATCAAATTTACCGGTGAAGTACTCTGTAAATATTTTACTTTACTATATATGATGTACCAAAAAAGCAAAATATTCACTTCCAAGTTTTGGATACGTTAAATGGAAATTTCTGAGCTGGAGCTGGAAACTAGAAAGGAAAATATCAAAATTTGTGTTTGTATAGAGTTATAAGTTATAACAAAAGATCTTCGGTGAAACCGACAGTTTTTTTTTTCTTTTTCAGTATTAGCCATTTATCGTGAGTTTAAGTTGATTATTTGGTCAATTAAAAGATTTGATCAATCTCTAGGAATTTAAATCAGAATCAATGATTACTGATACTAATTTAATACTAGAAATAAATGGATTAGCATTTTTAACTTTTAATTCTCAAGAATTTAAATTAGGAATAACTATAAATATTGGATAGGGCAGAGGGAAAAGCCAAAAGGTGAGGCAGGAGAGTGAGAGTGTGATAGAAATATGAATGCAGAGTGATTGTGGAAAACAGCTGGAAATTTGGGACCGTTACAGATGCCTCGTGTTTCGTTTGGAATTTCCAGCTGGGAAATACTTATATATTCATATGCTAACCTAGCTGAGCTTATTTAATTATTATTTTTTATTATTCACATTTGAGTTTAACTATTTTAAATTAATATTGGATTCATCTTTCTTTTTAATATTTTTTTTATATTCGGGACTTGAATTTAAAATTTTCTATATTCACTGACAGTAGCTCAGTGAATCACTGCACATTTATTGGTAATAGTTCAAATACGCAGCTAGACGTTGGTTCATGGGTTCGGACGAATCTACTAGCTTTTTCATTAACTATATATTTTATTGAAAAATTAAATAAACATACGTATATTAACATGTGAACTTCAAAAAAATTGATTTAGAACCCTCAAATTTCTAACAATGGCTCTGCTGCCGAGTAGCTTAGTATATTTTTTCTTTTGCTTTTCTTTTGTATAGAACACGTTGTTTTTATTTTGCTAAAGGTATATTTTAACTTACAAATTCAATATAATTCAATAATTTTTTAATTAAATTTTATATTTATATTATTATTCATTTTAAAACTAGTTGTCCTCTTCCAAAATTCATAAATTCAATTGGTTGATTCATATATTTTTTTAAAATTATTTTTTATTAATCTAAACTAATCTAGCTCTAAAATAATATAAAACCGAAAACAAGAAAGTATACTTCTCCTTTCCCTCTATAAACTTCATCTTTTTATTTTTGTGGCTAGATAAACTTTTTTTTTAATTATTGTTTAGTACTTCCATTATACCTCAACTAATTCAGATTTATAGCTCAACTAATTCAAATTTATGTCACGTAAAGTCACATTCTAAAAGGAAGCCTAGATAAACCTTTTCCTCAACATGTAGGAAGAATCTTCTTCTGCAATTTTTCCATAACATCTCACTGTCCATATCGTAATGGGTGGTTGTCCATTTCCATTTTCCAATATCTGACCGTGTCATTTGAATTCGTCTATGTTTGGTAACTTTCCCCTATTCTTTTTAATTTACTTTTGCGACATATTAGGTGATTGAAAGATCTAACATGTAATGTTTGGTCTAAGGCATGATTTTAGTCACTAAATATTTTCATAAAATTAAATGCAATCCTTCAAATATTTTTTTGATTGACAATAAGCAGTAAATTTAAATATTCCATAGTCCTTGTCTAGTTGGAATTTTTGGTGTCCGATAATGTAGGTTGCTAGTACATGGTTTATATCCATATAAATATGTTTAACTTATTATATATCACAATTTTTAATAATTTTTGTTAAACTTGTTTCTCTATGAAACAACTTCACATGAGTTGATAGAGAGTAGTATATTTGTTTCACGAAGTTTTAAATAGCATAATGCTATGTAAAATATTACACTATCAAAAGATATATAGTATGAGAAAAGTATATCACCAAATAGTCGGTGGGTAACACAAGTATTTTCTCTTCTTCGTTGTTGGTCCCATTGAGCTTACAAATTGGGATAAGATGAAGCATTTGTGTTATTGAATCATATGTCACTACCAAAACAACCTACCTAGCTGTGATGATTTTTGTTTATTTATTTATTTTGGATAATTTAGATATTTTCTTTTTGCCCCCCAACCCCCACCCAAAAGAATATGGGAGACTGGGACCCAACTAATAAACTTTGGTCATTATAGTAGTAGCTTTTTTCTTAAAGCTGATTTTTGCGGAAGAGGCTCCTCTCCGTTACGCCAATCTCCAATTGGTATACTGTATATTTTATTTAATAATATTTATCAGTTTTAAAATTTAATGATTTATATTTATATAAATAAAGTATTTTTTAAATCATGGTTAACAATAAAAATTCTAATCAAGTAGTTTTCTCTCTTCAATCTTTTTTTTTTTTTCAGGAAACAACCTTCCTCTCTTTTTAATTTATGAAATTATACAAATTCAAGTAAGAAGAGTACTGAATTGAATTCGTTCGATGGAAATGGTGTTCTAAGAAGCTTGTTATCATCTTCAAGTCGGCAAAATTATTTTTAGTTTGGGTTTCACAATAATTATAAGGGCGTGAAAAAGGGCAAAATTGAGTAGAAAATAAAAATGATATTTGCTTTTTGCTTCAAAATTAGTTCAATGGTTATTTAGACAACGAATTATTAATGAAGAAATCCTCTAAAGAGAGCAAAATTGTAGTACTACTAACTAGAGTTCATATATTTAATCATAGTTTAAAAGTTGCTTTATTTAAATAAATATGAACCATTAAATTTTAAAATTGACAACTGTCATTAAGTTAAATATGTACTGGATCAACTGGAGAGATTGGTGTATTGGAGATGAGCCTCTTTCGAGTTTTGCTACTTTTCACTTTTCAGCAATTTGGATACAGTGAAAAATGGCAGGACAAACTTCAAATGGAGCAACACAAGAAAACTCGAAGGGGTGAAATTTTGTTAACTCCTGAGACTTGAATTTCATGTTGATAATAATTGGAAGCTAATGTGGGACGTATGTAGTTTAGTTAACTTTTGAGAAGTAATTCAGGCTTTACCTCGATTTAATAGGAAGCTAATGTGAGACTTATATAGTCGTGGACTTTCTCACCTTAATAACTAACTTTTGAGGTGTGATTTTGGATGAATTATATTAAAGACGGGGCAAAAGGGGGCACAGAATTGTGCAGTTATATTGAGTGGTAACTTTTAAGGTTAAATAACATAACATGTTGATCACCTCATAATCCCAGTTATATATTTCGGGTCTCCCAACTTTAATTAAAAATATAAGACGTCCATCGATAAAAGTATGCTCTAAAATTTGTTATAAATGTTAAAATTTGAGTGAGCATCAAAGTTTGATTAAATTTCGTCATGCCACCATTTGACCCATGATAGAATGTTTGAACAAATAGGCAAAAAGAACACTTGAAAACTGAAGTTAAGCATAAAATGGACAGCATTCGATATGGATTTATAAAGTGAGATTTGGAAGTTGATTAGATTTGTCTCACTGGATTTGTTGATCTCTTGTTGGTGGACACTCATATTTCACTGTAGCAACTTTAAGACAATTGAAAAATAAAACAAAGAAACTTAGAGACAATTATAAGTGTTCAATTATAATACTAAAGTTAGACACCTTGAGTCCCAGAGCTAATAATTGACCATAACAGTTTGAGGTTCTACGATTTATTGAAGTTAATCTGTATAATCAATGAAGTTAAGACGTTTAATAATTTAGATATCTGAAAACACAATTTGTATTGAAAGTGTTTGATAAGAACAGTTTATCACATATATCCGAATGTTCAATTGAAACAAGTCATAATTCAAGTGTCTAAATAAAATTTAATTACAAATATTAAACTTATTAAGTCTACGTGAACATATAAATTATTATAAATTAGATACAGTCTTACCCTGCGCCACCTATCGATATTATGACGTATATTATGTGGGAAGTTGAGTGGAAAAGGATAAGATTATAAAACAGAAAATAAGTCTCTACTAAAACACAAACTAAATTTCCAAGGTGTCAAATGTTATTGGCTGTAGTCCTAATAATTGAAGTAATAATGTATAATTTCTTTGTATTATTATATATAAAACTGAACCAACTGCTACGCTATCCAACTTTTTTCCCATCAGATCATCATTGAAAAAAAAAATAGCTAGATACTCATGGTAGGTTGGTTGATTTTGTCCCTAACCATTTAGCTTCTCTTTTATAGGAGGTAGCAGACTTGCAGTAGGAATAAATGATAAGAGGTTAATTTCGTGCTTTAGATATAAAATTATCTTTACTAGAAAGTTTTACTCCTAAATGAGGTTTTACAATATAAATTTAAATCAAAAAAAAAATTAAAATCAAATGAATATCGAACACCGAATAAAATAGAGTTGTGATAGGAGTCCATTATCACGAGTTCATTTCAAGGACACCACGAACTATATTTTTTTATTTTATTATATTGCATGCAATTTCTGGCCCTACTGATTTTTTGTCAAAGCTAAAAAGAGTTTGCTATCAGATAAGCATCCTATGAATGGAGAAACTGTTTCTTTTGCTTATGGAAGGATTCTTGTGTTTTAAGTCACAAACATGTCACTTTCGACCTTTTTTTTTTTTTTGGGCTAAACTTTTACTTGTTTATCTTTAAATTATTTTCGAGTAACAATGGGTGGTGGAAATATAATAGGGAAGAAATATAAAGAAAAGATAGAAAAAGAGGAATTGTTTTGATTGGTCAAACACTCGATACCTATACTTTAATAGCACAATGTAGACCTATAAATTACATTAACTAACCTAAAACTCCAAATGCTATTGAGCTGAAAATTTAAGTAGCTAAACTACTGGATTATCATAATTTTGCTAATTGATTCTTTCTTTATCCCAATTTATATGATACAAATTTAATTTCAGGAATAAAATCTGAAAATCTTTTATCATGATTTACTTGTAAGCGCCTTAACATTAAATATTTTGAATTGTTCATTCCTGTGACTTATAGTAATTTTTATGTAATTTCTAAAATATGTAGAGTAGTTTTCAAAATTTTGAAGATATCCGCATAAGAATCTAGCCTACTTTTGTATAATAATTGGTTGGGTTTTTTTCACCGGAAAGCATAGCATGGCTAATACATTATTTGGTTAATATTTTTCTTTTTTCACATAACTAATATATGTATAAATTATGAGAGATTTTTGTATTATTTTATTCGAGATATACATCATATATATATACTTGCATAACTCTTACCAACAACTAATCAGCCAGAGTAAGGACCAACAAGGCAACAACAGCCTTAGAAAATTCGGAGATAAGAGTCCATCCTTCCGCCTCTCCACTTAAATACCCCGCTTAGTTCAATGGTGAAGAACTCGACCTAAGCCACAATTCCCTCCACCTTTATTAGTTAAACTAAGCCCTCAACGCATCCTCCCATGAATTTTATATCTTAGAGACCAGAATCAAAGGAAAAGGTAGAAAACCTAATCAAGTATATGCAAGGGTTACTATTTGCGACTTGATTTGTCCCCTTTACTTCCATAGTGCTATTGGTCCCCATTGCTGAAGGCTTCTCAAGTGAAGTTCATGTCATTCCTAAGTTGTGTACATCTAAGCCTATCAAATAGACAAGAGGAGAAAATGGTAGTGATCAAATCCTTTGTTCAACAAATGAGCATGGAGATTGACATAGAATTTCGAAATATTTAATTTGATAAACAAATCTATCTGAATTCCTGACAATTAAAAAAATAGATAAACTTGAAGCTATTATGAACCTGTTGAACAAAGAATTCTTGATAGTCTGATCAAAGATTTAAATAAAGGAAAAAGCACATCCTTAACACTGAATATTAAACCAGGTTGTATGTACTCATGTGAAGAACGTCTCCAAGACTTTGATCTAAAGGTTTCAAGCAAAACCCGATTCAGATGTTTGTAGTGTAGACTGCAACATAAACGTTAAATACCTGGAATAATTGGGCATTCTCCAGTATAGATGGATTGAGGCATACATGACTAAATTACATCTGATTTTCCTATAGTACAATGTTAAAGAACTACACACACTAATAAGAGTGTGCCCTGCTTCAAATTTGGCCAATACAGAATACCCTTTGCATTGGTAAATACTCTGCATTCACACCCAATGAACTGAAAAGAATGCTAAAAAATGCCGAAATAGAATTCTGCAATGCCAGTAAAAAAGAGGTGCCCAGCAACCGCCTCACTCGATGTAAAACACAATCCGCATGTTAGGTCATTTACTCCACAGAAGTATATCCTTAAATACTATCTATGGAAATTTACTGAAGTCAAGAAGGATGTCTCATGCAAGTAACAAGAAAGATGATGAAACTTCAAGTGCAAAAGGGTGGGAGCACGTGTATGTCTGTCAAGGCATAACAAAAGACTTGCAAATTTATCTACTTGGAAATACCATTGATGTTCAATTCAATCAAATTCTGTAGCAGTAAAAAGCACAAATACAAAATAAATCATCTAAATATTTGTATTGGACATACTGTTTTACATTTGCCATTTCTTTATAAAACAGTGGATTGCAAAATGAAATGTAGTACGAGGTGGAAGTCTTCAAAGATAGTTCTTACAAGGGCCTTCAACTCAAAGGACTAAACCTTGTACTGGTGCAGGCTTGGCTGGCTGATGTTCTGTGAACTCGGAAGCTTTCGGAGACTCAGATAAATGAACCTGTGCGAAATCAGTAACCATTTTCTGCCTTTGCTCATCCTCTGTCATTCCCACTTTCTCTTTTGTCATCTGGCCTACTTCCCCTGCTGCCTTAGCAACCTTACTAAAAGCGCCGGCTACCCAAGTGGACCCAGTCAGAACATACCGATTTTTCATAATGGCTGATCCAGCGCTACTAACTGTTTGCTCAGCTGCAGAAAGTGCTGATTTTGCTTTATCAGAAACTTGGAGTTTCTGATCCACCTCTCGAACTTTGTCATTAACAATGGAAGTACCAATGCTTATCTTTTCAGTGAGACCAATTTTTTTGTCGAGAGAGGCCACTTTAGCAGTTGCAGTTGAGGTCAACTGGTGTTTCTCATCAAAAGACTTTGCTTTCCCTACAGCATCTTTACCTAAGATATAACCTTTTGCGAGCATGCTGCTAACAACGTCTTCTGCTTTCTGAAAAGCGGATTCTGAATTACCAGCACTTTTCTTTCCAGTTGGCTGCAGATCACAAATATCATATAAGAAAAGTGTTCTTTCATGTTCAAAGGACATGTATGTATATTATTTCTTTTTACCACTGATGCTGTAAAAGCAGTAGGAGGAAGCTGGTAAACTGGATCCAAAGTCACCGTAACAGACATATCAACTATTGTTGCACCCTGAAATAAATACAATCACACTATTGAGAACTCTTTCTTGTTTCTATGTTTGTAAACACTCAAGGCCTACCACAATCTCCACATTGAAAGGGAGAAGTGATAGCCATTAGGAATAAAGTGAGAAAAACTACAAATTTATTTCACAAGTATTGCCACCGACACTTTCTTGCTTCCAGAAAAGTTCACGATGTATCAGAATTTTTGAGCCCTTACAAAAGAATTTGCAGGAAAAGGCTCGAAAGAAAATGAAATCAACCACTTGGAAGAATACACTTGTTTGCATAAGAATTACATCATAACTGTTAATACCCTTTTTAAGATGAATTGTCAACATATAAACTTCAAATGTTACAGGGTAGAGGTAAGCATTGAGGATATACATGACACTGTTCTGAAATGCAGTATGGTGCTTCTGGCATAATTAATACCTCACTTGCATCATAATAATATGAAATAATAACTTGAAAGAGTTTACATTATCATTTTAGGGATCTGCTAAAGCTCACACCCAAATCTCTGACCTAATGGTCAAGGAAGCTGGAAAAGAAATTGCAACAGACAGTGTTCGATTCACAGCAAGGGGCAAACAAGTCAACTGATTTCTTTCAATCTGCCTAAGGCGTGATAGGCAAAGATACCTTGAACCTGCCATGGCAGGAGGATGCAGGTATCTAGCTGAATAGTTTAGTTTACCCCAGATGACCCAGAAACCAGTTTTATAATTTTTTTTAAAAAAGACATAAGCCAAAGGTTGCATTCATTGAATACCCTCTGATCCTAGAAAGCCCAACAATACCTAGGAAGAGAAGGAGACCAACATGAATGGCCTTCCATTTAAGCCTTCACACAGTATGGACTCAATGCTGACCTGATGTTAAACCTCCAGTTCAGTGTTCAGTCTATTTACCAAGTGCTAGCTCATGTTAACATTCCATTGAACACTAACATCTTCCCTAGAACGAAAAAGGATAGAGAAACTTTTACAAGTATCTAACAAAGTTTTGGAAGTATCTGACAATTTTGTGCAGATCACCAGACTTAACGGTCTTTGATGGAGAAATAGCATAACATCAAACTAATAAACATATGAGCAATTGACATTAGGAGAAGAGTTAAGTTTGTGTATAGAACCTAAAATAAGATTCTTCCGTAATCAACATAAATCAAGAATTACTACAACTGAACACCATCTTTGATCTTCCTTATAAAAACTTCAGACTTTCAGCTTTGCACCTCCCTCCTTATAACCTATTTAAGCAGAATTTTACACAATTCCAACAGCCCTAAGAAAGTTTATTTTCCCTTTTCTCCAATAATATTTATATGATAACTTATCTTGGGAACACAAATATGGTGAGTTAGCCAAACTCGCTCCTAGTATTTTCAAGGGAACCCTGCAGTAAAATCGTCTGCCCTACAATCAAACTCTCATGCTTAGATAAGCATTTAAGTGAGAACCTGGACTTCTGCAGATGAAAACCGAAAGCAACATCCCCAATGCCAGGCTATGTAGTAGCACTAATTTCAAGAATTTAAATTAGCTTTAAAAATTTAAATGACTAAAACAAAGAACTATCTAAATGAATACATACAATGGCCTCAAATAAAAAGTTTTTTGTCTGGCAATTGCATCGTCAATTAGCTTAAGTCATTACTTCATATCTTTATACAGTCAAACATAAAATAAAAATTATATCCATACATACATATATATATATATACACACACACAGAGAGAGTCAAACATGGCAAAGAAATCTGCCGGCAAACAGCATATTGACGAGATAAAGAAGGCACGAGACCATGATGGAGGTTCGTTACTAGAAAATAACTGTTCTAGCAGTGAAAACTACCATCTCAGTCTCATGCTAAAATGACAAATAGTAATTCGCCAGAACATTAATGAAGAAAATAATCATGAATACTACTTGATATAAATGCACTTATGCGCATAGGAGGAAACATTGTTGCAATGGTCAATCTTCAGATTTCAAATTATCAGCTTGATGTCCCAGCCACAAATAAGCATAATGCAAAGAGTAAGGGAAACAAATTGTAAAATTTGACTGATAGGGAGAACGATGATAACCGAAAGAAGAACTGCAGTGTCAGCTCCCTGAGAATCATTGAACGTAACATATGCTATTTGACTTCGTTCAGTATCACTACAAAGTAAGAAAAAAGATAAAAAAAAAAAAGTGGTGTTAATGACAAACTAACGAACGAATTCACTCAAAGAAAATGGTAAACAACCTCAAGCGCTAACCTTTGCATCTCAACATATTCAATATCACCAGAGAAAGAAAAGAATTCCTTGATATCACGCTCTGATGCCCCTAAGGAGACATTGCTAACTTTAACAGTTTTCACCTGCTCATGAAAGCACACTGTCAAGAGCTTGGGAAGACAGTCTCATTTTCAACATTTCAGTTATATATGTAATCCACAATAAGACATATTCGAACAACATTTATCATCCTTTAAAACAAAATAGAAAATGCAAAGCAAAACGATCATGCGACGATGTGTAATAGTAATTTAAAATGAAGATTTGGGACTATTAGGAGTAAGATATGATGAGAGAGGTCTTGAATTGAAACTTATCAGCAAATGTTTGAGCATTAGGTTGATTGATTCTGATTAAACGAGAAGTTACACCCGTTTATTTTGATCCCTTTCCGCAAACTAATTAACATACTCCCCAACTCCACTATTCCTATTCAACATGCATTTTTCCATTTTTGCTGCTTGACATTGTTGGAAATGTAATTTAGTGATAATTTATACTCTTTCATATCTTCGTTTTGAATTAGATGACCCCAACTTATTTGGGACCAAAGCCTAGTAGTTATTGTAATACTCTTTCACACAAAGAGCAAAGTAATGTTTTTTGAACTAGTCATTTTAGAAGAACGTCATGAAATTGCAATTATGAATATTAAATCAACTTTTATTTGATATCTCATGTATGAAAATGCCCTTGGCCTTAAAGACGTTGTACATCCACCTGTGACTTAACATTGCATATGAAGATGTTGGTCTAACTTCTTTGGTCTCCTTAAGCACAAAATTTCACATAATTGACGGCACAAAATTTCACATAATTGACGCACAATTTAGGAAACCAGCATGGGAAGTAGCAAAGCTAGTATTATACTACGCCACCTCAAATCTGAGGATGACCGATCTTATCTCCTCCAGCCTCTCCTTTCTAACACACATGTATATAGGAATATAATATTCCTCTAATAAAAATAAAAAAGTGATCTGGCCTAGAAATAGTAGTCAAATAATTACAGTTTGAGCCAGAAAATGCATGTCAGTATACTCATAATCCAAACATGTTTTTGTAAAAGTTCAAATTGTTTGTGCAGGAATTGTTTATTTGCATGATCCGCAGAATAGAGGATTCATCGAATTACAATTATCTTTAAGCTGGCTAGACATCAGAATTTTTTTATATACAAGTACATGAATGATACGGCCTCAAATAGAGTTGACTGAATGTAGAGGGGATCTAGTCGACTAGTCGACTCCAACTAGCTAGAGATCCATACTTGGTCAACTTATGATATGATTACTATATTAATCAAATGCAGAATATGTCGCATATAAGCCAGAACTCCGATAATACACAGTATTTGTTCAGATGAAAAAGGCATAAAACTAACATTTTCCAGGATTTTTTTTTAACTAGTCAACTTTTTAAATAAACGCAAATCTTATACTTTTATACTATTACAGCAAATTTTCCAACAATGTCGCTTATACTCCTTTTGATGGCTTCAACTTTGACGATTTCAAGCAAATCAATAACAATATACGAGTAACATAAATATTTCAAATATACTTAAAAAGCTATATTAGCTTATAATTGAAGTAATTAGACACTTCAAATCATCTCAATCTCAGAGCTCAAAGATAATCGTAGCTGAACTTCAACAAAGGCAATCAACAGAAGCAACATCCAAAACTATCAAATCAGACGAATATACAGCAGAAAATTCCGTTAAAAACTTATAAAACAGAATCGCAACATGAATGCTCAAAATGTAGCTTATATTTGAAGTAATCAGATAATTCAAAACATCTCAATCTCAGAGCTCGAAGATTTAAGAAGACAAGAAAAAATCGTAGCTGAACTTCAACAAAAGCAATCAATAGAAGCAACCTTCAAAGCTATCAAATCAGATGAATATCCAGCAGAAAAATCCGTTCAAAACTTGAAAAACAAAATCGCAAGTGGAATACTCAAAATGTAGCTTCTACTCACCGACATCGCAGCAGTTCGATGAGAGATCGGAAAAAATCAGATGTTGGAGAGAATGAAATGCAAAGGAGTAGAGAGAAGAGAGGATTTATGAGGATTTTGGAGATGGGGAAGAATTGAGGGTTGACGGAGTTTAGAGAATGAAGAGCCGGCGAGAATTAACGGCGTTGACGGTGGTGACGGGTGAACTTTTTCCAAATTGACGCCACGACTGAATAAAGTAGAAGATAATTTGACTAATCTCTTATTTAATACTACTTCTCTTCTACATCACATTAATATTTTTTTCCATATTTATAATTTAGATAAAAACGAATTATATTTTAATTTCTTAAAAAAAACTATTTTAAATTATCTAAATTTTAATGGAAATAACATAAAACAGTAATAGCACTCCGTCCAATTTATTGGTGGTATTCAAATTCTGAGGTTCAATCAAGTTTTTTTGTGATTTGATAAAAGTAAGATAAATTAATATTAATAATATCAAAAACTTAAAACAATTTCTATTATAAATTATTAAGTAAAATTGGTACATATTATTTTCACATTTTGAAATTTAGAATATTTTCAAAACGAATACATGTACAAAGTACAAGCTGCTTTTTTAAATATTGATAAAATTCCCATCTAAGGAAAATTAAATACTCAAATGGAAAATTAGAATTAAAAATAAGGATTTATATACTTTTTGTTGGAACAAAATGTATTTAACTTATGTAATCATTAAGGCATGTTTAATCACTTAGTACCGGAATAAAGCTTAAATGTCGTAATCACTACTACATGATCTACCTCACTTAATATCCACAACAACCTCATTTACTAGATGAATTAAATACTATATTTATGTAAATGATGATTCCTTTCAGGTTTTTGGTCACGATCATTCTTAAATTATATCGGAATTTTAAATTATAATTTTAAAATATTTTTTTAACATAAAATATTCTTTAAATATTTAAAAAATTAACAATTTTATTCTTTGATTAAAATTTATTAGAAAACTATTAGGTTCCATAACAATTAAGTTACCGATTAATATTTATTATTTTGAGATACGCTAAAATTATTATTGTGAACTTTTTTGATAATTGTGTTTAGCATTATGCAAAATCTTCTAATTTGATAATTTTCTAATTTTTTATTTTTCATGTGATTTAATATCTTTTAAAAAAATCAATTGAAATATGTTTCTTCTCAACTAAATATGCTAGTATCGTTATTTGTTGGAGACTTTCAATAATGGAGAATGAAACTCAAACGCGAGACACAATCAAAATTTTGATGACCTCAATATTAGATTGTTTCAAAAACAAAACTATTGATTAAACTGTAATTTGATTTTGAGAAAAGTAAAGATAATTAAGCTTCAACTTTTTTTGCGGTTATAAATGAGAAATAGAGCACATTATGTATCTTTACACCTTTCTAACATTTTTTTTTGTTTCAGAAAGCAATGGTGTCCAAGAATTTTAATATTCTTCTTTCATATGCTTTTTATGAAATTACGCCTGAACACTTTTGTTCATAGTCATGTAAATTGTACATGTTTTTTTATATAGGATTCTATAGTTTTTTAACGATATCTGATAGAAAGATGAAAGTTATTAACTTGCAAATACTTGAAGGACGTTCTCTGTCAAAAAACATATTTCGAAAATATAATTAAGTATATTTTTTATCAAATACTCTTTTCTTTCTTGTGTTGCGAAGAGGAGAAAAAGAAGAGAGGTTGAAAAATATTATATTGTATTTGCGTTTTGAGGGCAGAGTAATGAAAGAGAGAGCTAAGACAAAGAAAAATATTTTAAGTCTTCAATTTATTTACTATTCAAAAGATAGTAACTATATGTTAAAAGGAATATCTTTTCTTTAGTGAAGTTTTGAACTCTTCAATTAATTGAGAATTATTCAAGTGATATAACATTATTGAATAATAATTGAATCTGGATAGATCAATATATATTCATACTCTCACATGTCTTATAGAAAAATTTTACGAAGGTTGTCCAAGTATTACATAAGCAATTTTTTTCGATGAATGCATTTTGAAAAAATTAAATTTGAACTGTGTAATTTTAATATTACCTTTTTTATGAATAAATATTTCAAATTTTTAAAAATCAAATTGCATAATTTTTAGCTTTAATATTTGTATTTAATTTAATATAAAGTGAACAAACAAACAAAAAATAAGGGGTGGGAGGGGGGAGGGGGGGAGGAATTAAGCTTAAAATTAAATCATTTTTATATTTCAAGCTTTCACTAATCTATGATGATCACAACAATAACGAGACATGAATAATGGAAGCAAAATCAAACATGTGTTTTTGTGTGAGTTTTTGACTAAATTCATCTCTCAGTTATGACTGGAATTTAATGTACATCTTTATATTATCTAAGTGAGAAAAAACATTTTCATACTATTCAAAAAATAACAAGAATCATCCTTCAGTCTATTTTTGTTAAGAAACTAATTGAACAAATAAAAAAGAATATTTTTTTTAATTTGATTTTGTCTTAGCTACATCGAGAAGATCAATATTTCCCAAAAAGAACAAGGATATGGATATAAAATAAATATTTTATTCTCATAATTTAAATTTTGTGTGATGTTAGTTTATATTTTTATTTTTTTTGCATAATCAAGTAAATTGACTTGCAACAATACATAAGTTTTGAAATATATATACAGTAGGATCCAATTGTTTGAAAGATTATGCAAAAAAAAAAAAATATTTAAAAAATATTATGTGCAACTATTTAGAGATTCTCTTTAATAAAAATATATATATAGTACATATATACTATATCGACAATGCAATTCACATTTTATACAATATATAAAAATACCGGTAATTTAGTGAAATTATGTAGGCATTTTGTTGTGAAAATTAAATAATAATTACTTTATTTGAAATTTTTGAAAATGTAGTTGTATTTGGACAATTTTTTTTACAAATAATATTAAGAATTTGAATATATTTTGTCTGAATATTTTAATTCTCAATTTCTAAAAATAAAAAAAAAGTCACCCAACTTGACTAACTTAATGAACGTACGTACATATAATCATTCGACTTGACACATTTTTTGTTGATGGCCTGAGTTTCTTAAAAAGAAAATAGACACAAGAATGAATCTTGCAACTTTTTGAATAGATCAACGATGTCTTTTGTTCATTTTTATAAATACAAGGATGTACTTTAGATTTAAGTTACAGTTGAGGGATGATTTTAGCCAAAAACTCATTTTTTTTCTTTTAGTAGCTTTATAGAAATAATTTTTATTAAATTAAATAATTACATTTAAGTTTAATTTCAAATTTTAATTAAAAAATAAAAAATCAAATTCATTGAAAATTCAATAACCTACTAAACCTAGATTTCTAATTAAGAATGTGATTAATTAGCTTAGACAATCAGAGAAAAAAGTTAACAACTTAGAGTAATAATAAAATAGGAGTGTTCTATTAAAAATGATTGTAAAGAGCAGCTATGAGGAATCAAACTCACGCCTACAAGCTACAATGTAGGTAAGGAAAGCCTCACAGTGCTAAGCCGCAACATTATATTCATAATGTCCAACATGTTAAATTTAACAGTTACAAATATTTTTTTTACTTATATATATACAATTAATTTTTCGATAAAAAGCATCTAATTAGACACCCTTAAAACACTGTACTCAACACTATTTTGTCAATTCCAAACAAAAAGAGAGCTTCTATTGTAGTAGCAGTAGCTTCTTATTTTGTCATTCTGATACTCTTTTAAGTCTTGTTCATGGTCCTTGGATATATAATGTAGCTTCGTGTGATGTTTCTCTATACTCAACACTATTGTGTACTCCATTATTTTTAGTGGAGTCAATTTGAAGCTATCCTTTTATATTAAAGATGAACGTTCTTAAATAGAGTTCTTTTTTATCATTATTATTTATATGTCAAAGGAGAGGTAACAGAATAACAATAATATTAGTGTGATTTTATCAAGTATTTTTTTTTAAAAAAATGAATTTTAAGTATTATGCAAATATTAATCTTCTCTCCGAAGTATAAAAGTTATTTCTAATAAATGATTTGTAATTCAAAGAAAAACATTTTAAAGCAGTACATAAAAAGAATAATGGAAGCACAATAAAAAATATATATAATAATTTTTTTAAATAAAAATTACAACAAAATAATACATTCAAAGCTCAAAGTAATAGAAATCAAAAGATAAAAAAATTACAAAAACAATATTAAACTAGTAATAAGGATGAATATCAACACAATACATTGCTACCTAGTAACTTTCTTCGTTTCTTTCGTAACCTCTTATCCAAATTTTAAGTAAATAAAAAATATATTGTATCATTTTAATCATCTTTTTCTAATGCTTCTTCAATTGATCTTTGCCTCTCTCAAATTGTCTATAGTCAATCTCTCAATCCGTCTTTATATATTTGAATGATCTCAATTTCATTTTTCATATTTTATCCTTTTCTAATATCTTCATTTCTAATTTATATACTTTCTCCGTTTAAAAAGTAATGATCTCTTTCCCTTTTTTTAGTTAGTTTAAAAAAGATTGATCTTTCTTTTTTTTTGGTAACAATTTTTCACATGACATGTTTAAAATCAGTATATTAAAAGACAATTTTATACATTTGAAATAACTTTAAATATGATCAAAAGTTTTCTTTATTTTTTAAAATTACATGTCAAATTAAATTAGATCTCCGTGAAACGAAGAAAGTATTATGAGATGGAATACCTACACATCCATCCCGACATTTCATTACGGCGATGGAATAATTCTATAATTCTGTTGCGTCGTGCATCACTGCTTATTTGATTACACTAGAAAATGTGTTGCATGTCTTATAAACAATTCTAATATGAACAGCTAAATATACAAAGTACATACGCATAAAGCTGCCGACAATATCCACCTGTCACATTATATAACCACACCAGTCTAGCCGGCCATTACATGGCGCTGATTTATTACTATTTTATTCAAAAATATATCCCGCTAAACCTAACCCCCACCACCCAACGCATATTTAATCATTGTGTCCCTTTCCCACTATTTATTTTCTTCCATATTATAAAATAAAAAAATAATAATTTATGTTCTAAACTACTCCTCTTTTCAATCTCTTTATGAGTTACAAATGACATATCTCTTTATGAGTTACAAATGACATATTTTATATTTTTAATAGTTTCTTTATTCTAG